TAAAATTTGTTTGTTAATTTCAGAGATGAGGACGATGATTATGAGGAAGATTTGAGTGAGTATAGTGATGATTCTGTCAAAAGACGGCCACAACCAACACGACGGTCTGTGCGGAACCGAAAAAAYGTGGTTGATCCTGACTTTAGTAAGAAATTTAATAAGTCAACATTTTAAATTACTGGCAAATGATCAATGTACAACTTTTAATCATGTTAACTCTGTAAATTTAGTTAATGACGATTCAAGTGAAGACAGTGATCAACGTTCCAAAAAAAAGAGACCTTGGTCAGATTCTTCGAATAGCGAAGAAGAAGACTTAACTTGGGGTAAAAAGAAAAAAAAACGTACAAACGCATACTCGTCTTCGTCATTATTGTCCAAACCAGCCAAAGGATCTAAAAGGAAACGTAGTGAAAACAACGGTGATCGGAAATTTAAAAAATCTAAGGTTGTATTAAATTAAAATTTTCTGTGGAGGTTTTTTAAAACTTTTTTGTACTTAGATAAAGTTTGGTATGAATTCGGATTCAGATTCAGATGGCCAACCTAAGAGAAGGACTAGAGGACGACAAATAACTTATGCCKAATCCGACGATTCAGAAGAAGTACCTAAAATAATACCATATATTGATATATAATTTTTAGTTTATTTCACTAAACTACAGTGGACATACTAATGTGAAATAATTTTTATTTAGGAAGTCCAAACAAAAAAGCGTAAGGTAGAAAGTGATGAAGAAGACGAATATGTCTTGAACGATGAAGAATTGGAAGTCGAGAATGAAGACCAAACTTTAGAAGTGGATGAAGATGATGCCATGGCCAGTAATGATGAAAAAGATGAAGAAGACGATGTTTATGAAGAAGAAGCAGTTGAAGAGGAAGAGGAAGACAATGACGAAGATGAAGAAGTCAACCCGAAGCTGGCCATAACCTCATCAGCAYCAGCTGTAAGTGATGTCGCACATCCAACTGTGAAACTGCCGCCGCCATCTGCCATAGCCAAATCGGTCATCAGGGAACCGGTGCCCTTATTGTCATCCGATCCAGTGGCTGTTGAACCACATCAAAGTGCACACCCACGACTTATCCCACCAGTTGTCGTCCAGCAAACGGAAAAACATACATTGTCACCAGTCGTCGACTCCGAACATGGGTTGTTGGATAAGCGTAAGCGTCCCCTACACCAGCCAAAACAGTGTCCATCACCCAATCCTGTGGTGGACTATGGTGGAGGTTCTGCTTACCCGTATGTGCCTGATGCCACCAAAGTGGCGGTGTCTACCGTTCTGCCATCGCCTGCACACGTGGCATACATCAGATCACCCGCAGCTGTGTCTGTTGCTGCAGGAGTGTTCAAGACCACCATGGTGCCACGAACTTCTGGTGATGTAGGTTTTCCTGTCCCGCCAGCCCCATACCGGACGGGAGCCAATAAAATGACCGGACCAGCCTCCTATCTGTCTCCACCACCTCAAGTGCAACAAGTGTACCAGGCGCCAACACCACAGTCACAGCCATCATCAACCAGTTATTCCCCATATCCAATTGATTATGCTGTCACCGGAGCACCRCTACCACCTCCACCGCCGACCATCGCTTTCCGAAACGTGGTCATAGCACCACCATCTCACGAGCACGCAGTGTTACCCAGTTCTACACAGCAGCATCAGCAGCAATCCACCACAGGGGGTGGAGAAAGTGAATTCGGCGGGCTCGTTTCGTATTTTTCCAGTCAACAGGAAGACGATTTTGACGCATGATGATCTCGTCCATCTCCAACATATTATTATTATTGCAATTTATTATTTTTACCCTTTTTTTCATTTGTTTCCTCTACCCTGCCGACAGCTTAATGTATTCTACTATTCTGAAAAATTGGCTACTTTACTTGTATGTTGTTATTATTATAAATTTAGAATTATTTTATTATTTTTTTATTTTTTTTTACCATGACAGATAATTTTATTTTTTATTAAAACAAAAGTACTCTAAGACAATTAATGTGGTTGTGTGAACAGTTTGTCAGTTTTAAGTTGTAGATTAAGCCAACCACACACATCATATTACTACCTATTAATTATAATATTATCATCACAATCAAAAACTGTCAACTAGACTGCCTCTTTCTATTCTTTTTATTACTTAAAAACCGCACATCCGTAGTGTTGTGTCCTGATAACTTACTACAAAGCAAATTGTACGTTAACAATAATCCATTTTACTCTGTTATTTTTATTTTTTTAAATGAAAGTGAATTGACCAATGATAAAATTTAAAATTAAGGGCATCTTGGAGGATTTTATTGATACTATTTATAAACAAGTTATGACCGTTTTAAGATGTACAGTTTCTAAAAGATCATAACTTCTTTACTCATAAAAACCTCAGGTATGCTCTGGATAATAATCTTACCTTTTAAACAGGTAAATTATTACAGAGTAAAATRTATTAGTGTGAATGTAAAATTGTCCAAGTACATTTGTAAGGCATAGACAACTAGACAACACATACGGGTGTGGCTTCCTCATAACTTAATTTTGTCTAGTATTTTTTAATTTGAATTGGAAACAAATTAATTTATTTCTTGTTTAGCGAGGCCATAATGTTAAAAACGGAGATCTGAAAGTATATTATAGCAAACGATTTATTTTCTAACAATTTTGTTTGAGTTATGTATTTGATAATATAATAATATTTTATGTACTTTGCCTTCATTCTCATATTTTAAAAATATTATTATTTCTCCCTAATCTTTAGTTAATGTTAATTTTATTTGCAGTTGCCCCAACAATAAAAATCATTTTTTAGAAAAATCATAGAAAATGTGTGAGTGTAATATTTAATGTACATATTATATACATTTTCTAAATATACTTGAAATAATTATTGAGTTTTTTAAATTTTAAGTTGTAGTGAAGATCGATTTTTTTAAGTTTGTCAATACGCTGAATGTTATTTGTACGTAAATTGTACAATTTTTCTTTCATAATTTTAATATATTATAGATTTTATTTAATTGATAACCGATATAAGACACACTAACACAAAATGTTTAATTTTATATTTATTTTAAATGAACAAAAAAATAATATATAAGTTCTAGTGTTGTATAAAATAATATAATTAATTATTAAGATTTGARAGTTATACTTAGACTAAATATTTTACTTGTAAGTAGGAGGTATATAGATATGTATATTATATATAATTTATTTCAAACTTTTGTTGCTCTGTATTTATATATTGTCTCGTGAAGTTTCTGATTTTATTATTTTCACATGAAAAGTTGTAAGTATATCATAGAAAAACATCAGGCAAAACGCTTGAAGTATGTGTCTTCATTCACTTTGTCTTATAACTATCACTAGGTATCATACATTCATACTTTCAAACATAATTTATTATAAATTGTACTAGTAATTTTTTTTTGATAGTTTTTCTTGAAGAACAATAACTTCAAAACACAATTTACAGTTTGGTACAAAATTACAATAACATGGATACTAGTTTTACCCTGTAGGCTTAAGAGCACCGATTTAAGAACTAAATTAATTTATGCATAAACTATTTGTGCTAAGGTTTTGGGGGAGGGATTTTAGGATTTAGTCCCCCTCCAGTAATTGCTGTGACCCAGCCATAAATGCTAAATAAATTGAAATCCATTCAAGATTTATTATATTAGTTATATGCATGTACAGTATTCGGCSTATACATGAATTGTAATTATTGTTCTTTCTAAAAAAAAAAAAAAGCATATTCGTAGGAAAAACAATGGAAAGTCGATCTAGTGTATAGTTTATTAATTTTAATAGAAATACCTCATTATTACTTATTCACAGTACTCGGTGAATCTGTTTGATGATCAATCGTTGCATATAGGTGCCAATAAACTATTCTTTGTTGGGACAGCATGACGGGTAGGGTAWGAGTGCTGTTACTCAATGGGTCAAAGGCCAGCTTTTCTGGGTGGTTAGAAGACCGCGCCCACCTTTGTATAACTTACTGCGTTGGTGAATAAACAATACGGGAACGGGTGGCAGTATTGTGATGAACAGTTCCCACCCGTTCCTGGTTTTTGAACTGAAAAAAAAAAGCCTCATACAAGATAAACACGGTAATAAATAAGACGACTAACTAATTCAAACGAGATTAATGAACTAAGAATAATAGTAAACATCATGAAGTGCAATGTCAAATAATGCATTTCGATTTTTACACATGTGTAAAAATGTATTTTTGGTAGGTACTTAACTAATTATTTGTGGGTAAAATAGCCTTTAATGATTGAATTCATACATAAATAGAGGATAATATTTTTGAGGGATTTCTACATTATTATTTATACCGTATTCGGCTTTTAAAATTAAATGAATTGTTTTTTAATTGATTTTTCAAAATGGCATTACTGAGGAAGTTATGTTTAGTTTACACTTTAGACTAATGTAAGAATTGTCTAACAAACTATGAAGATTTAGGTGTATAATTATTGATCAACTGCAGCGGCTAGGGTATAGGACTGGTAGAAGGCAATGGTAGCAAAGCTCTTCAAGTAATAAATCCTCCGAGTATCTATAATTAAGTGGTTGTTCAGCAAGTCTCGGTAAAAGTATTTCAATTTTCATTTGTGTGGATGCCATTCCCACAGCATATTATGGACTCTTATAGTTAGTTGGATATCATCATGTAGTTCATCATTATGATATAATATGCATATTATGTTTGAATGTTTATACATAATATTATTTGATAAAAATGATAAGTGTATATAATCATCTATTAAAATAATACTATATTATTATAAACACAAATCAACAGTTCAAATATAATTTTATGAAATGGATTGTTATCACAGTGATGTATAAAAATGAAAATGAAAATTTCACACAAAGCGATTTTGACTACTTCGAAATTCCATACGTAATTCGAATTTGTTTGGTAATTTCTCAGAATTCTTCCAACTGCCTACTCATACAATACACATCACACAGATGTGATACATAGTATTTAAAATAATCAGTTCTAAATAGGGAAAATGGGTCACCAAATATCTTTGGGTTTGGCCTACTAGGATAAACATAAAACCCATAATTCAATAGATTAATACAGAAATACAACTATTAGAAACAGAAAAAAAATTTTATTTATAAACTATGTACAACTGCTGTTCTTTAATTAACTTATACATAATTAAAATAACTTAATTATAGCTATAAACATGAATRTATGATTTAGAAAATTACACATAGAGATTTTGTTTTATTTTTTAAATTAAATACAAAATTGAATATTTATAATTGCGTATAAACACGCGCACAAACATTTTATGTTTTAGTATATTTAACTATTTTATGCATATTTTTGTTTTGTAGATAATTAAACACACCAAAATAAATTATAGAACACCTATCTAAAAAACATCTCAATACACCAAAAAAAGAATGTTTAATATAATAAATATATATGTTTTATTGAATATGTATACATTAGAAACAAAATGAGCTAAGAATTGTAATATTACAAGCGAATATGTCGCGTTTTAAATTCATTTAAATTGCTTAAAAAGATATAATAAAATAATAATGATAGTAATAATAAAATAATTGGATAATAAAATTGCACATATTATACATATTAGCACAAGAAAAAAAATACCAAACAAAACAGCTGTTAAAAAAAAGTAAATATCATATTTTTATACATAATAATATTTAACATTAATAAAAACTTAATGTGAACATTAACAAAGAGGTATACCAAAATCATTTAGAATAACAAAATGAAATTTTTTAAATAATACTAAACACGTCCGATGGTTCGGATTATGTGTCCAATTTTAAAAACTAACCAACCAAAACATAAATTGTCAACCTTTTTATTAACTTGTTCAAAATTCGTCATAAGAAATAAAATAAAAAAAATTTGGGTAACTTATTTAAGTACAAAAAGAAATGTCGTTTAAACATATATTTGAAAAATATGTCAAATGGCAATTCCTAAATTTAGTAGTAAAAAAAAAAAAAAAATAATAATAAGAAAAACAACAACATAACACGGTAACTCGTTCTGTGTGCGCACGTCCGCCTATTGGTGATGATGACGACGACGTCAACTCACCGTGTACACGCTCACGCCCAACAGCTGTTTAAGTTTGCGGTCGTAACGGACCAAGAGTATTTGCTCGTCGCCGGATGTCGATGACGAGAATGGTGAGGCGGCGGAGGTAGTAATTRCGGAAGTGGCAGCAACAGTAGTAGTAGCGGCGCCGGTGGAGATTGTGGTCGCTGAGGGTGTGGACGACGACGACGTGCAAGAAGGGGCTTCCTTCGTGGCTACAGAGTCGCTGTCGTCATTGGACGGACGTTCAYTGGATTTGTTAGCTGCGGCCGGGGTGGCCGGCACTACGATTGGTTGTCGGCCCAACGATTTCCGGAGCACCGCGCGCTCTTTGAATCGTTCCGCCGGCACGGCCATAACGGCGTTCTCGTCCTCCATCAGTTGGACGAGCGCTTCGACAGTCTTCACGGACAGAGCCGTCGACACGTCCGAGAACAGCACCCAATCGTCGTCGTCGACGCCGGCGGTCTTGCGGCCGCCGTCAGCACCTCCTTCGGACGGAAACTTGTAGACGTCCGGAAGCGATTGGTCGGAAAATTCGAACTCGAACGATGGGCCTTCGTCAGTCGGTCCCGGCGATGGGGCAGGCGGCAGACACCACAGCAGCCGGTCAACGTCCTCGGGTTCACCTACAAAACGAAAGCAAAGGTACTCGATTAGTCATAACCACGGTTAGGTAAGGTTACATTAGAGTCGCGAATAAAGGTGGTCGAGGTTCTATATAGAAATATACGATTCAAGAGAGGACCGGGAAAATTGCAGTGTTGTCTCACGCAAACGTGTTTAGACATGAGACGATTTGAGTCCAGCAGAACCAATTTTGTGTTGGTTTTTATATTACAGTGCATTTACTATCATACCATCAAACCTAAAGGTAAGAATATATTATTATCTAGGGCACCTATATAAACTTAGCTTTTATTTTTTTCACTATTTTAGTTTCGCTATTTTTCTTTTGGCTTTTATTTTTTCGATATTATGGCCTATAGGCTATAATCATTCGTAGACGCATTAATTGTTGATATTTTAATTTTATAGTGAGTTACGGCATATTGATACTTTAAAGCCTATGCGTTGTATTAGCTTAATATCCTGGTTTACCTATAATTCTGATTAGATGTGCATTTTTAACATATTATATACTCTTATATTAAAATCATTGCAAAATTAGTTTTGCCAAACGCAAATTTGCTCCRTTGTCAGATTGAAACAAAACATGCGGGATCGGCGTTCTCTCGAAAATAAAAAGTAACAATTTAAATAAATCTACAGGAAAATACTCATCAACAGAGTTYGTAAGTTTTTCTTTCATCATCCCAACAAGGTTTTACCAATAATCAAAAACACCGATACATACATGATGGTAACATAGATATTCTTATAACGCGAGACACTATATAATTATTTTATAATAAATGTCAATCAACTTTTTTTAGTTTTGAAGAAAACCCGATTGCCTATATAATCCCAAGTACCTGTAGACTGTAGAGCACTACATTAAAAAAAAATCAAATTAAATTGCATTTTTTCCTTATCACATCAGTTGTTTAGGTTTTATTTTTAATAGGTTACAATTAATTTATTTTATTAGTACAGCGGAAGCAGTATATTATTTCCCTGAAAATGTTGTTAACTGTATAAATAAATAAAAACACGTAATCTTGAAACCATCGCTTTGAATGAGATGAGCCGAGTAGTGGAGTAGATAGGAGATGCCATCTTTGCATTCCACATTTATTTTATAAAAACTTTAAATGTTTATAAATACATCTATCATATGTAATATAAATAATTATATCATGYAAGATGACTTACTATTCAATATGTAGAAATCAAAATTTCTTGAAAATTATGCTGCAGAATATGAAATTTAATATACAGTTTATACATTTAAAATTTTAAGATCTACAAAGTTTTTTAAAATTTAAAAATTTAAATATTTGAAATTACTGTTCAAACATATAACTTTATTTATTTTATTTTATCATTGTCTGGTTTGCTACGATTCTCGGAGAAGTCGGAGAATAGCTTTTCATTAACGGAAAACACTCAGTATCCTACTTAGACTTAAGAGGAATTGAATGTTTAATATTTAAAACTGAAAAGTATCTACGGCGAGCAAAGTGTTAGATGGAGGTACAAACTCTACATAAACATAGAAAATAAGACAGTTGTTAAACAATACWCGACATTCACCACATTTCCTATCTTATAGAAACGTATTATGAAAAAGAAAACGTCCCATACAAATACATAAATTTTGTGATAAGCGTCTTTCGTACGTAGTATCGTATCAGTAAAATATCTCGTACTTCTATCATAAATAAAGTTAGAAAGTATTTTTTAATATAATGGCACTTTACAACACATTTTCGTGAACTGGTTGTTACTGGGTTCTATACGCGTGCCATAAACTAAATAGATTGGTGTGATACACTATTAGATTTTAAAGATATACCTTTATAATCGATCGGGAAATTATTATCTKATACCAATAGCATTAATTTCGTTTTCGTTGAGTCTATATGTCATTACACCATACGGTCTGCATTATATTTAAAATCCAATGTACAAACTTGTTAAGTATAAAACATCACATACATAATATAATATAATGATATGATGATGATGGATTGATGAATGAAATGGCTAGTTAAAATTTAAACGCAAAACTTATTAGGATTATACCTACATTATGAATAGTATTGGTCAGCTGTTTTTCCCGTTTATATTTATACGGAATATGGGTCATATAGCAATGCAGTATGTATGTATATAGATTGTCCAACCATGGTTAGGTCAGGTTATTTACTATATAATACTTACGGGTCAGCGTGGTGTCATCGAAATTCCAAACGGACGCGYTGCCGTAGCCTTGAACGTCGTTGACATGATGTTCCAGTAGCATTCTGGTCTGCTTGTCTGTGGCCAAAGACAATGGTGACTGTCCCGAGTAGGTGGCCAAATGCGGGTCTGCTCCATAACTGAGTAACAGACGCACCAGGTGCACGTCGCCGTTTTCAACAGCTTCGTGTAGGGGCCTGAAAAACCAACAACAATAATATAGAAACAAAACGAAACATTTTGAGTCTTAGGCCTAACTCGAAACAGAAGGAGCGAGGAGAGAGGAATCTTTTCACACGCAGCATTTCAACAATGCAATATGTATATATCATAAAATATTAGGCGTAATACAATTAATGAAATAAACTAAAATAACGTACAAATGAATGAAAATGATGGGGTCCGTGTTTGGATTTTTAACAAAAGTTTAAAATAAAATATATCAAGTTATTAGGCATAGTGTGTAAATTGTATATAATATAGTATACACAATAAGTACTAAATATTTATTCATAAATTTATTGGCGTTGTAGATAAATTATTATAATAATCGACATATCCTTGTGTTTATTAAGTTTATTTACTATAAAACATTTGTTTTGTGAAATATTTGATTAGATAGGGAATGAGAGTTGATTGGCGTTGATCATACTGAGGGACCGTATGCCGCAAAAGGATTATTATTTGTTTTGCGTGTCGCACATAACTAATAGCAGACAGACAGCWAMTAGCTAGACGCCTTGTATACCTATAGTAAGTTATGCTAATCACAAAACTATGTGATGTATTATAGCGTTGCCGCGTTGGTAACAAAATATACATTATTAATGATTTTATAATATGTGTCTATAAATTAATATATTATAGGTACTGACCGTATGCCTCCTTGAGCGCTGGCGCTGACATCTGCCCCGAACAGAAGCAACAACTTGGCTATGTGATAATGGCCCTGCGAACACGCTTCGTGCAACGGCGTGTAGCCCGCGTTGTCAGCCACCGATGGGGCGTACTCGAGTTTTTCCATGCAATAACCCACGACATCCTTTGAACAGAACACACGCAAAGAAATATAAGACCAGTCGTCATATTATACAGCACACCGTCAATCAAATCAGACCAAATTGGTCGATTAGTGTAGAATAATATAATAATGACCATTTTAAGTATACAATCATACGTCATATAAAATAGTCCCCATGCAGTGCATCTAGAAAGTTTGTAAACGCTTGTTACACATTATATATATATATATATATCTTGCACAGTTCATACGACGTAAATATAACGAGTTTCTAAACTTTCTAGACACACGCCCAAACGGCCAAACTTTACAGGCACACGATTATTTCAAAGTTTTTTTATTATTATATTTTAATCTATAACGTTCTACGACTTATAATATATATATATATAATAATAACTGCGATCTCTGATCGCGATGTATTTTACGTATACCTATTGGTATTATATAAGTATATATACCGTGCGTACACGACAATGTTAGTGACAAATGTAGCATAAGTGCATGGTATAATGTATATTATAATATATTATTTAATGAACGCCGATTGATTGTCAAGTACCCAAATGTGTAATAAATAATAATAATATTACGCGCGTGTAGAAAAATAAAAAATAAAAATAAATACAGTTTTTATAAATCAATAGTAGTAGTTTTAGAGTATACATAGTTGAGAGCACGCATTTGGGGTATCGCATTGGAAACATTGACTACTCTATTGTACTTTTTACGCGTGTTGCCATTTAGGAATACCTTAATTTAATGCTGATATGCTAATGTTGTTTACCTGAAATTGAAGTAGTCCGTGTAATAAAAGAAATAGTAAACTAAAAATTATAATATTGAGTATTGGAAGTGGAACAGTTCATTTTTAAATTATATACTTAAAATATTTGAAAATTTGTTGTGCTGTGTCCGGTGTCGTGTAAATACAAAAAAAGGAGCGTCCCGACTACTGTTATAAAATGGAAAGGAAAAGAAGTTCATGAGCAAAGCTAAGAGCTCTATAGTATTTATGGAAAGGCTTTTAGTGAAGTTATTTTGTAATTTTGTATCCTACGTAAAAATCTGATGCTACCACAAATTTACCGTCACTTTTACGGACGGCGGTGAAAAAGTTTGGCAGCCCAATTATGAAGTTAAAATCCCCCCTCCACGAGTTTAGATAAATTTAATTCACGAACGTTTAGAGTTTATTTCTGGCAATGTTTTCACGTGATCGAGGTATAATAATTTATGTATGATGGTAGTAATAAGTAATGATGACAGAAAGGAAGTTGAAGGATAATTGAGGCGACTTGTGAGGGTAAACAGTTAGTTATTTGAAAACAAATGTCGCCGAATCGATAATACACATTGTTAGTTTAAATATTAAAATAAATATATATGCTTATATTATTATAATCATACTAATATAATACCGGAACGATTTATAAATGTGTTAGCGCGCGATGATCGTTTTTGTCGTATTTATATTTTATCGTGAGCACTCATCGAGCACCATCACCATCGCCACCGACAATYGTAGCAAAACGCTTCAAAATATAAAATATTATATCGGAAAACTTGTGGTGCGCTCGTCCCAAGGGCAGACGCGAGCGAGATGCGCGTGCACATCATCGTCATATACATTATTATAATCGTCATGTTATTATAAATGCGTGTCGCGCGAAAATCGTTTCTGGACGAGTGGGTGACAGGGGTGGGAGAAAGGTTTGCACCATCACGAGGTCGTGAATGCACACGTCATCGGCGAAACTATCGAACTTTGCTCAACGTGTGTGTGTGTGTGGGTTCCCGACATTTTTTTTTACGGTAAACCAATTTTGATGAAAAAAAAAAAAAATCATAAAAATTAAAATTAAAAACGGAATAAAAATTCGAGCATTCTAAATGTACAGAGTTATTCACTAAGCATGTTCATTACCTGAACTCATTCAAATTTTTGGAATTTCGGTATTTCAAATAGGTACCTACCTACCATTATTTTAAACTTAGCTTTTTATTAAAATTAAGAAAAAACTTTTATTACCTAGGTACTGAAAACTATTGTTCAGTAGATGGTAGATGATTTTTATTGAATATGTTGATGTATTAATATACTAACTAGTAGTTTCTGCATTATTCAACTGTATATCATGTTCAATGTTCATGATAATGGTTTTATAAAAAATATAAAATTCATGTTGTCTTTAATATACTCTAAYAAATTTTACAAATTAAAAAATGTTAATAGATCATTATAAATTCATCATAACAATAATTTTCAAATCGCCATATTAGCCCTCATATTTCCAAACTTAGGACTCAAAGTAAAATAATTCAAAAGTTATATTCATTAGAATTTCAATTAAAATACAACAACAAAATTTAAAAATCATCTTTTTCACTATTTCCGGAAAAAAGGGCGGTTTTCATTGTAAAAAAAACCCCTTAGAGTCTTCAACCGGTGTAAAAATATCCAAGTATTTGAAAATATGATCTTTAAGCAGGTAAACTTATCAACTCCAGAAATCAGAATAAGAAAAATGAATCATCAAATGAAAAATAAGGGTGGGCATGCTCGGTGAATCATCCTGTATGTTTATTTATTTACGAGAGATATATTGCGTTGCAGCTATTCCATAGCGCGTGGTATACGAGTAAATAATAAATAATATTATTATATTAGCGAAGAGCTGCGTGTGATCGAGGGGGCGAGGAGTGGAGAGCGTTACAACCGTATATAATAACGGTATCTCCTTCACCTCCCACCAAAATATATACATATAATAATATGTATATAATGCGCGTGCCTCGGAGACTGTTACGTAGAGTGTCGTTCGGCTTAAGTTTTTCTCTCACTTTTTTTTTGTATACGGTGTTTACACGCAATGTTAATAATGCGAATAACTTGCGCGGTTCTCGGTAGTAATAATACAATAAAATCTAATTAAGCACATCAAGTTCTAAACAATGTTATCGAAAAATTACGGCCGGCAAAAGCTACAATATTATGATATTAGTCTTTGAGCACCGCGTTGCCTATGTCAACAAGAGTATACCTATACTATCGAGAGATTCCCCAACACGATTGATATGATATAATTATTTATTTATTTCGTGCAGATCAATATAAATTATTATAGAGGTCTGACTAATCTGATATCAGTGATATCACAAACAAATTTTTGGGCACGAGATAAAATCGTTTTTTTCTTTCCAGTATATTATGACTGCAATAAGGGTTAACCTATATTTTTATAAAATTGAAATCGTTGTTTAATTAAAAAAAAAAATTTCTTTTTTATATCAAACCAAATTTTTTAATTCATAAATTTGTAATAACGTAATATTGAAAGCTATATAATTACTAATATCGTAACGATATTCCATCATATTTAAATTAAAATGATCATATATTTTTAAATCTTTTTATCGATAACATATTTTAATACTTTTTTTAAGTAAAAAAAGTCATATTACTATACTGTCTAGTCTCGATATCTTTTGTGAACTAAGTCAGAGATTCGTTAAAAATGTTTTATACTAAATATGTTGTAGTTTTAATGATAAAATTAACATAATGTATAATTATAGTATCTCTTAATTATTTTACAGTGTTTGTTATTATTTGTTAAATTATTTAATTAATTAAACCACAGCATATACATGTACTGTTACTCCCTACACCACCACAAGCCTAGCTTAAAGGTGTAGGTAATTTTTATTATTTCTTTAAATACTTTGTTTGTATTGTATTTTTCAAATATAATAATAAAATTATTATAATATAATATAATATAATATAATAATATAATATATTATATCAAATATAATAATAAAATTCGTATAAACGTAACATCTATATTATATAATTTATATTTATGGTAATTTTAAGAATTGACATCGTCCACTTGATATTTGAAAAATGATTTTGAGAAAGTTAATACCTAGTTTTTGAACYTCAATGTGTGATTAAATAATTTATTAATTTTAGGTAAAGATTTCAAGATTACGAATTTTGGTAGCAGCTACAACAGTTTTAGACATTTCGTACCATACGCACTAAAAAAAATTAAGCTATATACGTATGTAGATACAGTTTTTGTTTATCCCGGAATTACTACTTTCTAATATTGTAGTGTATAGACTGCACAATTTGCGTTTTCACTATTCACGAATACCTGCAGCTGTGACAACAATGGTCGGCAATGGAACACTAAAATTTTATCGAAAACGTAGACTTGTATATAGAATAGCACTGTCAATGGCCAACGCTACCATATTTCCAACGGTAAACCGTCACGCCTATATATAATATAATATATATTATTGTAGACTTGCGGTATACCTACYACCCGATTGCTGCGGAAAAACGAAAAGAAAATCACGTGAGCATATTAAGCTGCACTGGTCGAGRCGAGGGAGTTGTTGGCGATAAATCATCATCGTTGTTGCGGTCGACGACGTGATCGATTCGTTTCAATTCTCCCCCCTTTCCCACCAATCAAGCGAACCCGCAAATCGGACATAAATCAYTTACAATAATACAATATGTACCTATAGTCTATACATATATACATAATAATAATGATGATAAACCACGACCAATATAGTACAACGGTAGTGTTCCGACCGAGTGCATAATATTATTATTGTTGTTGTTGTTATAATATAATCATCATCGCGTTATGTTATATTTTACGAACGAATACACACACTACRCCTACCCCGTTTTATTTATATTTGCATATCATAATATTACAATATATTATAATGGTATGATTATCCTTATTTTTCCGCAGTATTCGGTGGGTGGACAGTCGACATCAGCTACGCGATTYATTTCCGACCTAAGCGCAGTACAATTAGAAATCGACCTATTCCTCTATATAATATCCACCCAGTAAGTCCGGTAATAACACACACATTCTAAATACGCGAAACACGAATAACTCCTTTCTGCGAACGRCCGGATGTACACGTCATAACAATAATATTTCGGATGAGGACCACAAAATTAATGAAGGGGAGAGGGGCCAAGAACAATGMACGTTAAACGCACCGAACAATTTTATCGAAAATAAATGGTGTGTAGTCGTCTGATTTTAAGGGCAAGTAGGAGCGGGTGTGTTACGAAATCATTTTGTTTCTAATAATTATATGAGAGTGAATTTGAGTGCCACTGGTTCTAATAAACAAAAAATTATATTTAATTTGAACATTTTTTTAGTTCCTAATATACCAATAATAATATTTATACATTTTKATAGTATTTGCACGCAATTCCATTCTACTTGTAATAAAAACTATAAGKTTTGAATCAATGTACAAAATCAATAACTTGGGGGAATATGTGAAGTTAAATAACCTTATAGAGGCTGCAGATATACGACTGTTGCATAATAATTTATGAAATAAAATAAAATTTGAAATGCACATTTCAAAAATGGCCAGACTAATTTTATCTCTGAATTTTATCAATCGTCAACATTTATATATCCTTATCTCCTTTGCCCATTCCTTAATTGACCCCGAGATAATAAACAAATAAATAACTCACATCGACACCTAGTCTGGCGGCTCGGTGGAGCACTGTCTCGCCGTGTCCCTTGTTGACTATCCATCCTTTGATTTCAGCATGGATTTCGGATATATAACGTGGCGCACTTGGTGGAACAGAGTTGGAGGAGGCAGTGGATGGGGTCACCGCGGTAGCAGGTTTCTTGTCCGACACTGGTTCCTTCTTCTTCTTTTTTTTGATGTAGTCGAACCCCGAGCGAAACTTTTTGCGCATCAACTTCCGTTTGAACAGTACGCGCGTCGGTGGTTTCACACCTCTAACTCCAGCACCACTATCATCGTCTTCTTCTTCTTCACCGGCATGTGCTTCCTCATCATCTTCATCGTCAAGGTGAGATGCGGCGACTTCTTCACCAGCACACTCCTTTTTCAATACCTCGTCCTCGCGCTGACGTCGCTTCCGCAAGTTTCGCTGCATCAACTTTTCTGCGGACACGATCTTTTCACGCTTCATCAAACGCCGTCCCTTGAACATAGCGTCTCGGCGACCGAACACCAGGCCACCTAACCGTTTGGGCTTGTTCTTGCCTGTTAATGCGCCAAGTCCACCCGCTTGTGACGACTGGCACGCCGCCAATTTAGCCGCTTTGGACTCCTTTACCGGCTTTGAAGGCGGTGGAATGTTCATGATAGAGGTTAATGACACCTGGTCGGCAGCTACAGCGCCAGCAGTCGGCGGTGAAACTACCGATATGAGTTTGGACGGAAGGCGCAACGACCGCTTGAACTTGTAGAGTTCGTCCTTCCAGTCATCAGTGGTCGAAACGACAGAAGCAGCATGTGCAGACTTCTCACCGAGTGATTTTTTTCGCCGCCTTTTTGGAATGATTTTGTTTTTTGCGTTGGCCTTCTTCTTGGAAGAAACCTGTTGCGGTTCCTGCTTAGCCTGCAGTGGCCTGTTCCGAGACCTCAACCGCATCCGGATCGTTTCGTTGTCTTTCTCTTTGGCCTTCTTGACAACAGTGATCACCTGTGTGACACCAACCCCGGTGGCAACCACTGTCGGAGCAGGATTAGGCGATGGTGACGCGCATTTTCGCCTTCTTTTCACTGGTATCTTAACAGTCTCGAAATGTGCAAAGGCGTCGTCTAATAGCTCGTCAAAAGCGAATGTGTAATCTTTCAGCGAGTTCTTTCGCCTCAGCGACTGTCTGGGATTAAATTTGCTGGCTACATCGATTGCTGCGGCMGCAGATCTCCTCGAAGAGTTTTCCGTGTTTTTTGTAAAATTTTCTTTTTCAACAACAACTTTTTTCCGGATGGCTTCAATTTTTTTGCTTTCCTTCTTGCTGAAATCTTTTTTGTTGCCATGTTCCGGTTGTTGATCTTTCTTGAGATCGCGTTTTTCTTCTTTTTTCAGTCCTTTCTTCTCTTCTTTTGCTACCGTCACCTGCTCTTTCTTTTCCAATTTTGGAAGTKGTTCTTTCTTAATCATGTCCTTGTCTTTCTTTTCTGCCTTTTTCAACTCTTTCTTTTCATCTTTTTTCGATTCTTTTTTCAGCTCTTTCATTTTTAACTCCTTTTTATGTTCTTTCTTTATTTTCTGAACTTTGGCAATCAATGGCTTTAGAAGTCGTTTTCTTTTGGGCTTTCCTTTAATTGATTTTTCCTCGGTTTCTTCCTTGTCTTTATTGTCATCTGCATTCTTTTCTAGATCCTCTAGCTTTGTTTTATTTTCTTTGTCCATATCCAAAGGTTCTGCGTCTTTTTGCGAAATTTCTTCACAATTAACATTTCCTAAGATAGGAGATTTTTCTAATTTCAYTTCATCTGCTGATTTTGATGTACTTCGAACATCTGAAGGTTTATTGTCTTTATCGGTTTCGGTAATGGTATCGATTTTTATTCGTTTTGTGTACTTTCTCTTAGGGGGTTGAGGTAGTAACTCTTTCACCGGTTTTCTTTTAATTGGCATTTTGGCTTTTTTCTTTTCTTGGGTTTCGGCTAACTGCACCACAAACGAATTACACGTATTCATCCAGAAGTCCTCGTCGTCCTCATCTTTTTCAGTTTCTTCTTTATTTAGTAAACTCAGATCTGGTTCTTTAAAGGGCGACGGTTCTCGTCTATAATAACAATTTTAAACGTAAGTTAATAAAATATAAATACTAATACTACAATTATGATCAAAGTTTCAGTAATCAGACACTTGTACATTATAAACACACTCTGAAAGTACTCGAAATAACGACGTTACAAATACAAAAAAAAAAAAATAGAACCAGCAAATAATGTAAATATGTATTTATGTAAGAACTTTACTTGATGTCGAGCTTGAGATCTACAACTGCTTCAGTTTGTGTGAGAGGAGTCGGTTCTTGTTTTGTTTGAGGTGTGCTGTTATTTGAAGGCAAAAATGGGTGAGGTGATATGGCTGTGGCAGCAGCCATTGGGCTGCTCATCCTCGTGCCACTAGACGACCCTTCTGCAGATATCTACATATATACACGGAAAATAGAAAAAAAACCATATAAAATTCGATTGCGTTTAATATATATAATATATATATATATATATAAAAGGTAATTGAACAAAGCGTATTGATTTTAGCAGTTGTAATATAAAAAATGAAAGTTAATAGTAAAAAAGTTGGCAATAATGGGGAACTGTTGAGACATAAAATCTAAGTGTACAAATGTTGTATTAGGTCAAAATGAGAACTTAATATTTATATCGTAACTAATGAACGCCTTGACGAAACGACTTGATTCTAACACGGGATWTGATTTATGGACTATTGTAAATTTATCAATATTTGTTTTAAGAGTTATAACGATACAAAATAGTAAATAGTTGATAGAAGCAATCATAATATAGTGAACGTTGTTATCTTAACATTTTCGTTATCCTGGATGTAATGTCGATTTTTTGATATATGTCCGTCTTTATTATACTCTACTCATTAGTAAGACACTTATTAATTAAATTACACCGTTATTCCTTTCTGATAAAACGGTTATGAGCATGACACATACCAAAGAAAGCAATTTTATGTAGTGTGTCAAAACGATTTGCCTAAGGATATTTTCTACATTAATTGTAATGACGGCCACATTAATGAAAAAACTAAAATATTCCCCAATATCCAATTATACTATTTATTTAAGTGAATAAGATCAAATTGAGATCAAATTTAACTTTGGTGACATTTATTTTTTTACGATAAAATTATACTATGAAATAATAGCAATAAATAAATTATTATTAGATCTACAATTAAATATTGTCAGTATCTTTGAATAAGAATAAAAACTCGATATCTCAAATAGTTAATATTTCTCATAGGGATATAATTAAATATCAAATTGCATTCCTAATTTGAATAAATTTACCATCATTAGGTAAGCGTTGTTTTTATTGAACATTTAAAAAAYGACATTTTTTGAGTTAGATCAAGCCGACATGATGGGGAAAAACGTAAATTAAACGGATGAAAGATATTAAGAATACCGAACAATATAGACGGAGGCATACCTGTTTCCTCTCAGCTTTGGTCCGGATCCTCGGAGCATTGCAGTACGCCCTGTCCATGTAGTAGTCGATCTTCTTGGGGAACGGCGTGACGGCCGTGCGCTCGGCCATGTAATAGTCGGTTTTTTTCAGAGGTGTGGTCGAAGGTTCCTTTCGGATGGGCGTCGAAAACACCATGGCCGGCGTGGACGGCGCCTCGGCGATGTGCGGCCGGCTGCTCTGGTCGCGCGCCTCGATGTTCTGCTTGAGTATCTCCARTACGCGCTTGTCGGCCTGCGCAGGGCCTTGTTGTGGTGCCGGTGGTGGAGGAGGCGGTGGCGGTGGAGGAGGCTGTTGCTGTTGCATCGCGGTTGACGGAATAGGATGGTGCGGCCGCTGGTGGTGAAACTGGTGCATCGGATGGGGATGATTATGGTTCTTGGCAGAAGTGTACGAGTTGAACTTCTGTTCGATCTGCCTGTCGATGGCCGCCCGCCAAGCTTCGTCGGCTGACGATAACGGCGGAACTTGATGGTTGTTGTTGTTGTGGGGGTGGAGGTGTGTGCGCACTATCGGCGGCAGTGGAGTCGTCGGGGCGGCGGCCACTAACGGTAACGGTTGCTGCGGCGAAGACTGCACTACGACCACGGTCGGCGGCGGTGGYGGCAACGGCGTCGGCGGCGGAAGGGAGGAGAGCGATATCTGAGCAGCGAACTGATGATGGTTGTATGCGGCGGTGGCAGTGTTGTTGCTGTTGTGTTGCTGGCCGCCGACGACGACAACTGCGTTCTGCGGGGGTGCCGCCGTGGCCGTCCCCGGTAAAGACCTGTTGAAGTCCGGTTTGAAGTTCACTTTGGGTATGTCGTGTCCGAATGGATTCAACCGGTCGTCGGTCGAGTCGGCCGACCGACAGACGGTCTTCACGGACAAGTCCAGCGGAGACTCGCGTTTCGTAGTCTCAAATCGCAGCTTGGCCGCTTTATTTTCTTGACCCGATTTCACCGGCTGCGAAAATAAATACGAGGAGATATTAATTAAAAWTAAATGTTTCTATACCAGAAAATTACATTCCGACGTTTTCCGAAACTATATGCTAATATAATACAATAACTTGATATTCATTTTATTCAATAATAGATACTTAAGTAAATTTTACATACGAATCCCCATAACTTTATAACATATTTATATATGTTTAAAATAAAGTTACCTGTTCTTTTTATCTATTTTAATTGTTATTTCATATAATTTTTATGATCGTTAAAAAATGAATATCTCGTATAAGTTGTAGGATATTATAATATTATTTTGTTTMGTGGCTTTACAAAGGATAATATAAAGCATACTATAATCTATTATAATCCAAGAATTATAATTTTCAATGGGAAAATTATTTTTCATTTTTTCATTTCATTAATTTCCAGAACATAAATTATATTATTAAACGATATGGAATACTAGATATAAATGTAATTGTTTAAGATGCACTATCACTCTAGCAGCACTGCAGCAGAGGGTAAAAAAAAGTTACCCATTTTAATGTTATGCAGGCTAACACGCGTGTCATTTATTCGAATAGCTACAGAGAAATGTATAAAGGACAAAGTTACATAATACTATACACGTGTATTATTATTTATTACAATGATTGTAGATGAGTAATTTCAGATAAAATCAAAGTTCAACAAAAGATTAGTATGGCATAGACCGATAAGGAATACAAAGTTTTGACGTTAAAATATACAAACTGAATAACGGCCGCTCAAAATCTTTAGCACAATATTTCATAAAATGTAGCGTGTTATTGGTAGCGTATTATTGAGCTTAATAACGATACTGAAAAGTTTGATCGCATGTAAAATTTGGCATACAAATCACAGCAGTACTAAAAGGCTAACAAATTGAATGTAACACTTTCTCCAACTGGGTATAATTGTATGAGTGTTGTAATAATTATCAAACTTAATTTATAGGCGAACTTATTATTTAAGTATTTACTWTTGTATATGAATATAACGGTGTTTTGATACTCCAATCACACTTGGAAAATCTGTGACATCAGAATATTKTAATAAAATGAAGAATACTAACGAAAAATAAACAAAAAACACAAAGGATAATATGATATTTCTAGAATTTCTCGGGGAAATTAACTAAATGCAATTTCAACAAACGAGATGAGTAAATAATAATTAATATGTATGTTATTATTGTTATTTTAATCATAGCTACACAATACGTGATGATAAAACAATAGAAACTGTATATAATGTATAATGTATAATATTATATTGTCGCCATTATGCAAAAAGTAATCCAATGAAAATACCTAAWTATGATTTAATCTTGAAATTTGAATTACTTTAAATTTGTTTTATTATTTTACATAATCGATTTTTGAGTGTCGAAACTGCAATAAAATTTCCATTGTGCAAAATGTGAAAATAAAAACAACAATTATAATGACTTTMACTAGATCACTTTTTACATGATGACGATGATATATTTGTGTAGACTTCAACACTAGCAGTTGAGGGTCAGACCATACATATAGTAGTGCATTTGAATCGCAGCAATTATACTGAAAATTATTATATAAGTATTTTCAAATTTATAAATCCTAGTGTCTTCAACATGAAAGGTTGTTTTTAAAACAGCTGTAGAAAATAGATTTAGATCCTGATGGCCTAGCTGTTCAGTATACATAATAATTGTAGAAAACAAGTATGCATTACAAGTGAATAATAAAATAATGTGCACACTCTATATTTTAAATATAGGAAATATTTATAGGAATATTAAAAAAGTTACAAAATATAGACTACTTTTAWTGTTTATTAGTTTATCATTAAAGTTTTTTAATTTATTAATATTAATTCAATAAGATTGTATATGCATCTATTTAAATAAAACATATTTTGTATGTATTAACTATTGAAACGAAAGATAATATTATATTATTAGTCGCTTAATTRCGAAACTGATCCAGCGAATTATGCTTAAAATATTATTAATACACCTAATTGATTTGAAACAGTGGGGATGGTTTGGGGAAATGTATACGTTTTTTTTATTTAGAACTTTTAGAACAACTATAATATTTTCAACATTTAACAGTTTAAATAATAATGTATTTAGTTTATACATAGTATACGTGGTTATATAATAGTTTTATAACTGTCTAAAACACAACCTAAAAGGGTATATTAATATTATAATATAAAATAATTCGAAGTGAAAAAAATACATAATATGCTTCATACGTGTATAGTGTATACTGTATACTGTATAGGTAAGTGAGTTAATTTTACCGCATCGAAAAGGTTCCCGGAATATACACTTGTCTAATTGAATATTATTATTATTATATACAACCTTTGAAAACCATAGAGAAACTAAACGAGAAGGAGAGTAGTTGCCTTTTGAACGAAGTCATTATAATTATAAATGTATAACACCATTTACATAATAGAATACTATAATAATATTTCACCGATACTCAGACGGCATATTATAATATTGTTATATAAATAACCGCATAGCGTGTTTTTGATCAACCAGAGCCACCTCAGATGTTTACCACATCAAATATTATAATAATATGTACAACACGAATAAACAATAGGTGTCATAAATAAACACGTAATAAATTCGTCGTTTACCCAAGTTAAGTTTCCCATTGAGTTGGTGTCAAACAAAATAACGGCACAAATTTTTTTATTACAACAGTGGTGGTGGTGGCGGCGTCGGTGAGAAGCTCATTCAAACGACCAAAGTCTACGCCGAGTACGCTATAATAGTGCGGTCAGCGTTTAGCGCGAAGAGGGAATAGGTATAATTTGTTTTCTCGTCTCATCCAAGGTGAGACGTGTTAAGAAAAAACGCAATGGATAAACTTCGACCTTATCTCAACATAACCTAACGACATCGATTAATATTATCTAACAGCTCATTCATTGTTTCGGCGCGCGATTGACCTAGAATACACTTGAAACGATCGTCGGTCGGTCCTTGGATCCCCTTGCGGATGAGCAAAATGATGAAACAGGTACAATAATGGTTGATACGTCCAAAAATAAGATTAACCAGTACCTAATTACTTTAACTGCCATAGTTTAAATAAAAAAGAACAGTATTTAAATTTTCGTAGAACGCTTTACAGAAAATTATTTTCACTGCGAATAAATAAACCACGACTAAGAATACAATTATTCTAAAATTTTAAAACATTTTTACGGTTCCTACGTTGGCAAGTATATAAAACCCACGCCAATAGGTCACAATGCAGTGAAAAAAAAATATTTATTATTCATTTTTAAAATCATTTTTCAATAAAAAATAAATCGGAATCCTGTCAGGACATTTATGGTATGAAACAATAATAAGCTGCTGTCGATTAGAAATTAAACACGAATAACAACAAGGCATAACATATGATTGATCATAAAAATATGTGACAATAAACACTCCTTTGCAATTTTACATACAACACAGGAACACTATAACTAAGTAATTTGCGCCAAAATATGAAAACACCGAATTGTGATTTGAATCATATTTAAATATTAATCATGATAAATCTCCGCCAAGACATAAAACGAAATGGCAAAATATGTATCTAGTATCTATGTGATTAAGCACATTATTACAATAGGTAATTTAAATATTTTTATTTTAGTTTACTTCCATTTTAATAAATTTCTTGAAATGTATCTATTAAAATTAACTTGATTGAAGAATGGTTAAAAAATATTACAAATAATTTTTTTTCTTTTAAAGAAGAGCAAATGAGAAACGACTCGGGTGTACAAGAAAATGTATCGAAGGACTGTTGTAATGGATATGAATTTGAATTCAATAACAGGAAATCATTGTAAAAAAATAACAATCCTGATTGAAGATGGTTTGTCAGCCTACACATTACTATTAAAGTAATCTATTTTATTACTAGACCAGAGACCTTAGTAGAAAAGTAGAATGGTTATTTTTTTTTAACTGTATTTAAAAACTTTTATAATGGATATAAAACATAAGTAATGAATTTTCACAATTTTGAAGAAATAAGAAAATTTCAAACACATAAAAAAATATTATTCATTATCACTAGAATTTTTATTTTTACAGACAACTTATGAAGAACCTTGTGTTTGATTTTGAATGTACAATARCGTTCGTGGTTGAAAACTGTTCGTTTTCCCTGCAGCGTTTAGCAACAACACCAACAACTATTGGTCCACACCTGTTCCACTGTTTGGCTCTGCAGGGAAATCGTACATTCAATATTTTACCATATCATGTAATATTTAAATATACAAGAAACAAAATATATGAAGCTGGTAGTCACGGGTAATGTTTACAAAATATATTAATTTATAATATTTTCATCTCCCTGAACTAGAACGCAGAAATAGTTTTTTTTTAAATATAATCTCTCTCTGGGTCTACTCAGCCACCATGACAATTGACAAATAATTCGTTTTAATCTATTATAATTTATAACCACCGATATAATATTATGTGCTAATATTATATTACTATTTCCGTTTTTACGTGTTAATCGTGTAACCGTACACGTTATACCAACCRCGTGGTTATTATTGTTATTAATAACTAGTAAAATCGTTTAACCTAAACAATATTATAAAATTTAATGAAAACTAGTATATTTTTATAACGGAACGCGGTGATAGTGGAATAATAGTATCTTTATTTCAAAAAACCCCACTACCAGCCAAGATATAGTATTTACGCAGCATAAGCACGATTTAAGAAAATTTAATATTATACGTCAAAAATTATGATTATGATAATAATAATAATATGCATACGAAAAAAAATTAAGCTAAACGGAAATGGCGTATTGTTGGAGATGTCCGAACGATATCCTTGGCGAAGAAGAGGAAAGTGAAACGTTTTTGATGTACACCCACAATAATAATAATAATAATAAGACGTGTATACAGCTGTAACGATAATAATTACATGGGCGGAATGTCGTTATTGGTTATCTTTTWAAAAAAAATGCCATTTCCGAAAGCCGAAATCACGAATATGAAATAATATTATTTATATATATTATAATATCATAATATATATCAGACGAGCACATTATATGATGAAAACGAATTGTAATTTGTAGTTATTGCTTTAGCGTCATATAAATACGAGAGCAACTGGATCTGGATGTCCTTAATTTTTTTTCGGACTGCCTTAACGATTTTATTTGAAACATCGATAAAAAAATTGACGAAAAAAAGGAATAGGATTATTGGCTTACTCATGTAAGTTTTGTATCTCCAAATTAGCAATTTTTTTCGCCCAAATATCAGCTTGAGTTTCGTATAATATACCGAACAATAGAACCAMGGTCGTCGCCACAATACATAAGTCTTGTGCGAACTGCGAGATCGAAATGAAGTCTTTAAGTTAACGATGTAATTTTGTAATACCTGATTATAAATACCTTTACCACGATCAGTATCAAAATTGTACTACAATGCCATTTTCTTATTATTCATTGTCACACTGATAAACTATAAGAGCGAGAAATGAGCATATTGAATGCTGAATAAAAATCTCCCACGGAATTGTTCTGGAAGAAAATCTATGTTTAGAATGTCTATATATTGATTGGAAGTAGTAACACCGAAAAAAAATTATCATAGGTACTGTATGAGGAGGGAGCGCCAATCTGGTTTCTAATTTAATATCATTTTTGGTTAGATTAAACGAACTAAAATAGTATGCATAAATGCATAATATACATTTTTCAGTGATGGAAATACTCAAATACTGCAGTAGTAGTGGCGGTATTGTTGTTTATGCGATGGCAATAACCACACAAAATAAATAATTGTTAATAATAATATGTTTGACGTCAAATAATAATTTTACGGGCCATGGTTATTTTAAAAACATATTAACGACTAATAATTTCTATTAATACTTATATAGATAGCAATAACATAATATAAATAATCGTATAGCTAAAGGTTACACTAATCCGGTTCCATTCGATTCTGATAAAACACGCAATTTTATAATCACGATGTGTACCTTAATATAAAACGTGCCCTAAAATAACCATGGCAGGCGCACGAGGTATATGTATTAATTAGTAGCTAATATTATAATTCGGAAAGAAATCAAAACTATTTAAAGTTTAAATACTTTAGTCTTTTCGTAGATAACTCGATTCGATTAAAAAATTGTACATACTCGATCGTTCGTTTATCGATAAATCTTGAAGTCSCTATAATGCATGCGCCATCAAAAGTAAAATCGACGAATGTCAAACATTCATRATATCTCTTCATAATACAATAAATGAAACGTATGACGATAAATATGATAATAAGTAACAAATATATAAAATGTAAACCGTTAAGACCGTGAAAAAGTGAAAAAAAACATGGCTAGATAACGAGTCTTCTACTAAACTATGTTGGTTTCATAATAGCACAAGTATAAAATAAAATCACGTAGTCCGGTAGTCGCGTCTATATTGGCTCCGAATCGCATCCGTTGGAATTTGATATGTAGTTCGTAATAATATACGATACACCAATGAATATTATCGGAAAACCGGATGTCGTAGACCAGCGTCGCGTGTGTCGTCTCATCGACGACCGGACAGACGAAAAAACGGACACTCCACGGCGAGAATCGGTTAATAGCATATTACGTGAAAATAATAAATTTCACAGGATAAAAATGGCGCACGCGCATCGTATATTATTATTATTATTATTATTATTATTATTATATCGTATTCGTATATATACATACCCAACAAAAACGATGGATAACGAGCGAGCAGCGGTGCAAAATGTGAACGGAATAATAATAACATTGGCAACGATGCCGGTCGGCGCTGCGGGACAGAACTCGAATGAATGCGTAATAAATGAGTTTACCGTCGTGGGCGTAATCCTATCATCAAAAAGAGCTGCTGTCTCGTAGGGAGGTTTTTTATTTTCAAAACGCACGCGACAGCGGATATATAAAACGAAATTTCAATTTTATACTTCGATTTTTCCAAGGAATGACGGTGTTACTTATTCGTCGTCAAAACAATCGAGATAATAATCAATATTAATATCCAACAGCGTCATTGGTCCGATTACGATTTTAATTGTCGATCCCCGATATAAAACCGGAACTGAAAAAAACGAATTTTATGCACGCGATTAGAATGGTTTCGTCCGTCTTGGATCGTAAATTCACTATTCACTACCAAACCAATATCATAAGCGCTGGAATTGCCCAACCAGAACCGTAAAAATATAAGACACGTGATATCATTTTTCATTCGCTTTCATTGGGGCCCGTGCCTAAATTTAGGCACAATTTTGTACTGTGCATGAATATTGTAATAATACATCACCATCGATTGGCGTGGGACGTGTGGCGAACGGACGTACGAAATGCGGACCGGTGAAAAAATAGAAATATTCCGACCAAAACAAAAGCAACGGTTCGAACACGGCCGAGACGTGAATGACTATCGTGGGGAGGAAGAGGAGGGGGGCCAACGACAACATTGACTTTGACTTCGCGACGAATAAATAATCAACGATCGAGGTCGTGTGCGCCTACTGTATAATACCATACACGACGCCCGTTTGACATTATTACTATTATTATGTATATAAACGAAAACCACAGCAATAGTATGGCGGCGGAGTAATGAAAACTACGCGCGCCCGCCAAAACAAACAGAATTTGATAACAAGAATAATTATTATGATCATTTTTTTTTCGGGTTTCGGACAGATTTAAAAATATATATCTCCCTTTCGTTTCTCGTTTCAAGTAGATACATTTTAATAGTTAAATTAACGTAAATATTATCAAACCAATTTATGAAAGAAAATATTACATACACGTATTTGTTGCAGTTGGTGTGTTAACAGTTCAGTAGTATTTACGATTCCGTCACAATACAATTTTTTATTATCATTGCAAACACGTCATAGATATAAGAATATTTTTAAATACAAATAATTATTATAATGTGTACAATGAATATAATAAATATTCTAATAATAATAATAACAATAATTAAGATTCATATTTAAAAATGTCACGTTTGTCATACTTTCGTACTTAATGACTGCAATTAAAAAACAACAAAAATGTATTTGCCGATTTTTGGAAATAAAATTAGGTACTGCATCAGTGTAGATGAARCAGAAACATGTACGGTCGAAAAATCCTAAGTAGGAAATATGAAAATTACATGTCAAGGTAAACCAATTAATTTATATTTAAATGAGCGTTTGATGATAAATCGCAAAGGGATACGCGTTGGCATATTATATTACTATGACCTACAATAACGGTGATTTCATAATACGATGGGGTTTAGAACGCAAAATCATATCGTTCAAATGTGCATCATTATAGTTAATTATTGTTATGTATAGTTATGAATATTATACTTACAGACTACTCGTACATGTGTATGATAAGTAAACGCGTGTGCAGGCAAGTCGGCGGAGACGGAACGACAGAACGCGTTGTGCACGGCAGACGGTCATGTCATGAATGGGAAATAAAATTATTGAAACGAAGTTCGAACCGAAATGACGAAATGTATAAAACGATAAACAAATTACACCAAAGACGACAACGACGATAATAACCACAGGTGGTCGTCGATGGTCTTCTAAATAAAGATTCGTTTTTCCTTTAATCCGGGTTTGACCGGCACCACCGCCTCCCCATTGTATAAACTATAAAAGGTAAACCGTAGACATAGTGATTACCGAGCTATTTCTAACAAAATACTGAATAACCAAAGTAGGTAAACTGTGGAGAAACCCCGTTACAAAAATTCGATGTTATTGCGTAGCTGTATTATTTTGTTGAGTTAATCAAATCGAACTCTTGTCAAACAAAAAAAAACATGTTTATAAAATTTGTTATTTAAGAATAATAAAATACGTAACATTAAATGAAATGACGAAAAATTAAAATAAAAACAATATCACTGATCTCTTTGAAGTTATTCCGAGTTCCGACTAGTAAATAATTTATTAATCGTACAATAATACAAATCATACAAATAATCTATCATAACAAAATACAATCGTCACATCACACCATTTTACAACGTTTGATATTTCATTAATTATTGTCCGGCCGTAAAATTGAAAACAAAATTTGAGCCAACGACCTATGAACCTAATTGAGCAGACATCGCATCGCAATGGGGGGAAAAAATGCACTAAAAAAATCACGTGGAGGGGCGTCAGCCCACGCGATAAGTTTGTTGTCTAGGAACAAAAATGCGGCGGTTGACGAGATTTCTGTGCAGAAAAACAATTATTTGGTCGACGGAAATTGCTTGCGTTCGTTGTGCGAAAACATTTAATTAATAATAATTGTTATGGTTTCCAATTACACCCGTATGCGCTCAGTCATCAACGAAATTGCTGCCGAAAATGCGCACGCGCAGTTTTCTTTATTTCTCAGCAGCCGCTAGTACGTGTATAGAAATGTCGGCACGCTGCCAGTGATTTACACGCGTACTAAACACACGTAAAATGTCTCGAAAACCAAACATAACGACAGACATTGAGGTCAAATGAAAGATAACATTTYTACCTATGTAAGATGTGAAACTATTGACCACATTTTCGGTTAGRTACATGGTTTAAAATAAATGTCCAAGTAAACGTCTATATATGATATTACTATGACTCCACCACCATTTTTTGGCATACAATTGTTAGATGTGAATTTTTTTAAACATAACTAAAATTTATAATCGAATTATAGTTAAAGATGACTTTGTGTACTATTCTTAAAACCAACCCAGTATTTATTTTTGAAATATTCCAAACATTGCACGACCCCAAACACTTTTATAATATATTTTGAGCAATTACACAATATTACAACAATGTGTGTGCAAACATCACTAACCTGTTGCAATTGGCCGGCGGCAGTGGCCGGTCGGGCGGGCTGCGTGAGCTTGTGCAAGTTGAGCGGATAATGTTGCGACTGTTGCTGTTGTCTGGACAAATGGTGTTGATGGTGCTGAGTTACCACRGTTGCTGATGACGATGACGGCGGCGGCCGATGGTGATGGTGGTAACCGTTGACGACTGCAGCTCCGGATGAGGTGGTGGACGAGGACGACGACGATTGTTGCAGGAACGCAGGTGGCGCCAGGCCGTCGAACGCGGCCCAACGGTGGTCCATACCGGAAACGATAATGGCGGCGGAGGACTGCGAAGACGGCGGCTGCAGTGGTTGCGGCGCCACGGAGAACGGCCTGTGATATGACGACTGACCGCTACCGCTGCTGCCATTGCTATTGCTTCCGTTGCTATTGTTGTTGCCGCCACCGTCATAAGGTTTTATCTGGAACGGCCTGGACTCCAAGTACGACGGCTGCACTGAGGCCGGTCGTTTATGGTGGTGAAGATGATGGTCATCCGAAGACGTCGAAGATCTATGGGGTTGATTGTTGTTAACCTGGTGTTGCTGTTGCTGATGATGATACCGTAACGGTTCGGGTTTTTGCACGATCACTCGGTTAACTTCGTGCTGTGCCGCCGCCGTAGTCGACGATGATGATTGCTTGGCCTGAGCTATGGGCACCGCTCTGACACCGCTGCGGGGCTGCTCGAGTTTTGGGTCATACCTGATAGCCAAGTGCGATGACTGGGGTCCCGCCCCACTGCTCACGGGCACTTCAGACTTTGGCCTCTCCAAAGGTTGAAACCTGCTAAAAAAAAAAAAAAATCATCAAAAATTATAATCAAGTATCTTAGTCATCGCAGTTAGTGAGCTGATTTTCGGGCATTTAGAGGTATCTACGAGGCAATTACCGTATTTGTCCCCAGTTGAGCAAAATAAATATTAGCCTATATTAGCGTTACCCAGGAGACACCACGAGGAGGTTGGCTGACTAGATAGCATTTTATGGAAACAAAACTTACAATCCACTGGTACTGATTGACTTTTCACTTAATATAAATACCATATTCTTTCAAAAATATACACTACGAAAAATACATAACTGCGACACTTCAAATATTTATGTTGAACTAATAATGGTTTCAACAATAATGGAGCAAGCCTAATATCCTAGAATGTTCAACTATAAAAACTGCTATTTAAAATCAATTATCATGACCAATAATAACATTTGATAAGAAATAATATGTTATTTTCGTTACTGATACACAACAATTAGGGAACAAACTCCACATAATAACTTCTTAATAACCCRGGAATCGATTCAACGGTATCGGTAAACAGGTAAGCGGGAAAAACACTGCCGACGATAAATTTTACAAACGTAAAACTATAATAATTGTAAKCGGTTGACTTACTTGGGTGGAGGCGGTGGTGTCTGTATGGGCTTGAACCGCAAGTAATCCCTGTCGATGGACTGCTGTTGCAAGCCGCTGTGCGTCGTCCTATTGTAGTAGTGCGAAGAGTGCGGCGAGGGGGGCGGCGTCTCGGGTACGGACGGCTGATGTTCTTTGGGCGCGGTGAACGGTGACTGCGGCTGCAGCGCGCMGGATGTTGGCTTGGGCACCACCGCGTATGGCGACTGCGGCGGTTTTGGCGGCGAGTACTGTTTAATTGTGGCGGAAGCCGGCGGCGACGATCGAGCGGCCGACGACATCGGCTTAAACTGAGACGGAGGCGGTTGCTGTTGTTGTTTAACAGTCAGCGGCGGCGGCGGCAATGGTTGTAGTGTGTACGGTGACTTGTACGGCGACGGCGGTGACGACGACGACGACGAAGAGGGCGGCAGCTGATGGTGATGCTGCTGTTGTTGTTGGTGGTGGTATTGCAGTGGCGAAGGCGGCTGAAAGTGGTGGTGTTGGAAGGCCGCGGGCTTAGGGTCGACAGCAGTGCGCGGGTAGTGGCCCGGCGATGAGTACGGCTGGAAGTTGTACCGTAAGTGTGGGTGATGATAGCCCGCGAACCGGTCGGTAGCCGCCGCCGAGGACGGTTCCGAAGATGATGACGACGACGATGACGACGAGTTCATCGACGACCGACCACCGCTACCRCCGTTGTGGTGCAGATGATGCGCCGGGGGCAGCGGCGGCGGGAAGTGCAGTTGTGCAGCCGCTGCTGCAGCAGCAGCTGCTGCGGTGGAGGCCGCGTCCGTGGGGATCCCTTGGAAGTATTTCCTAGTGTTTTCCAACATGTTGCTAAATCCCGAGTCCATAATACTACTACTTCAGCCTGCAACAGAGACAACTGTCGATTAATAATGGTCCATGATGTTATTGACACAATTGAAAGAAAATAGTTAATTTTAATAACATATTTGCAAATTGTCTGTGATGTTAAATAATTCCTTTGGATACGACCTATTATTCTAGTGCACCCCGCATTTTGATTAGTATTGTAAGGATTGTTAATAATTGTTATGACTATTATTTTTTTTCATACCGTTGCGACAGGAATTTTTATTTAGTTGTGATTTTATACGATTACGATTTTATATTGCTGCGCTGTAAATACATGGAGACTTTACAAATTCTATAATAACTTGTTGTTATGTTTAAATTTTAAATCATAATATAGTATAAATTATTATTTAGAAAAAATGTTTAAAGGTGGAGTAGCATGTTCATCAAGACTGCAAAAAAAACGCTTAAGGGATAGTTCTTTAACCATACATAAAAACGGAATTGAACGTTACTGATTTCGTACGGACTACGGAGGTATACTACAACACTCGTAACGACGTATACACCTACCTGCGGCCTATCGCGTGCACTGCACGAAACGCGACGTATTTATAGAACATAAAAATACGTAATACGTGCGCTGTACAATGGAAACCCGTATCGCCGAGCTAGTGTAGTATATGTATATACATATGACGTATACTATACATTTAATATTATCTATAGCATAACATAATATACTCTCAGATTACCACCTTTACTTATAGCTATATTATTATAAATTATTCTAAGCAACAAAAGATAATGGGAGAGGGGAAAAAATGTGGCTCTAGGTCAACGCGTCATGCGAACAACAATGGACAAGCAAATCTTTTATGTTCAATTCCAGCGCTCTAAAGCAGTTCAGAGCATYATATCGGGACTCGTTCAAACGATCGCGACGAGGTATTTAACCGATAGTGTAAGGTTAATAAATTTTATAATAAAAATACGATTAAATGCCATGTTCGTGGCCTGTAAATATATATTATACAATAACATATACAATTTTAAAATATGATACAGTGTTTAATTACAAAATAACTAACGGATTATTAATAAAATTAACCAAATATTGAATAATTTATCATCATGTTTTTTTTTTTTTAATTTATTTATTTACGTATTAAATCATGATTATTTTTAATAATATTCTTTTAAAAAAAGATTATATTATAGAACTATTAGTTAATAAAAAAAATTTAACTATTTTCTATTACATTGCGCTCCATATGTTAATGTATAAATATACAATCACACTACTGCTCGAATTTCGCAGTTGAATAAATATRTAACACTCCTGTTTGWTCTTCTTTCGTATTAAAAAATAATCGAGAACTGCAAGAATTTTAGTCGTTACAAAAGAGTRCGCAKCTAATTCACAAATCCAATTTAYTAAATAATGTATTTGATGTTATGGTAAAGAAATAGAAATTATAATATTTTAATCAAAAAATGCACATATTTTCACGCGTTGGACATATGAAATGTTAAAATTGTGTAGTTAATTTTTAATAACTACCAAYCGTCGTACTTTTAACCCGTCATTTTTTAAATATACAATGTTATTATAATTTTATGCTATATATTATAGTGCATAGACCAATTTTGTGCAATTTTCAAGGAGTATTTTTATAAAAAAAAAAAAAACAAATAATTAACGCCGATATTGTCTACAAAATATCATGTTTTTATACTTAAAAAGTTTAAACATAATTTTATTTGCGAGAGATTGTCAACAATAAAAATATTGATGTATTAATATTTCATAATTTTCAATCAAACGGATCTGTTATTATAACTAATAACTTATAATCTACTAGCTGAAGATACATATTTTATTTGATCTATATACAATCATATCTTAAAATTTTAAACGCAAAACTATTTCTTATCAGCCATTGCTTATTATCACTTATTATCAGTACCTAACAACAAATATCCAAATAAGTAACTTGTCACATATTAGTCTTTATAGGTAGTCAATAGTTACTTGTAACTACTGGACCAAAACAAATAGCATTCAATCCAAATAGATTAAATAATAATATATACATATTATAAACGATGTACAACAAAACATTAATTTCATCAATATATAGCATATTCTACATTTATACGTTATATTACATAACGATTGAACGTTTAAAATTAAAAATTATGGGTAGGTATACCTACTAAAGTTGTCTAACATTCTATGGAATAGAGTAGAATTCTACAGTGAAAGCATTTGTAAAGRTCAAATTTAAAAAAATATATTAATGATATATCCCACCTAAAATCTATCAACACGGGAATCTAAGTTTTTTCTTTGAACGACCAAAAACCAATCGTGAAACAAATAATTGTTATCATTTGGAACAGAAAAAAA